TAGAAGTGAAGGGAAAAGGCGTAGTATCAATAGAGAACTGTGCTGGAATCAAGTTGATTACTGAAATATTTTTTGTTCCTGAGATTGAGACTTGTTAATTGTTGGTCAACTAGTACAGAAGGAATTTAAAGTGTTATTTGAAGAAGGAAAGTGCCTCATTTCTAATTCTAGTGGGAATGAGTTGTTCAAATAAAAATTCAGCACAAAAGCTTCTCACTAGATCCATTCGAGGAGTAGATAACTTTCAATTGTCAAGTGAATGACAAAAGGTTATGGCACAGGAGGTTGGGCATTTTCATCAGAAGGGGGTTGCAGTATCTGTAGAAAAATGAGATGGCAATAGGAGTACCAGTTCTTGAGGAGCTGAAAACAAACTGCAGAGTTTGTTTGATAGGGAAGCGAATAAGATTGCCATCTAAGAAGTCGGTCTGGAAAGCAACCGAGAAGCTACAGCTTATCCATACTGACTTGTGTGGACCTCAACCAACTTTCTCACTGAATGGTAGCAGGTATTTCATTATCTTTATTGATGATTATACCAGAATGTGTTGGATATATTTCATGTAGCAGAAGCCTGAAGCAGCTGAGGTGTTTCTAAAGTTTAAAAGATGGGTTGAGAATCAAAGTGGCTGTAAGATTCAGGTGGCAAGGACTGATAATGGGACTGAATATACATCACAAAGGTTTAATTCCTTTTGTGAAGAAGCTGGGATAGAGCATCAGCTCGCTGCTCCATGTTCTCCACAGCAAAATGAAGTTAGTAAAAGGAAGAATAGGTGTATTATGGAGATGACAAAATGTTTGTTGCATGAGAATAATTTGCCAAAGGAGTTTTGGGCTAAAGTAGCAAACGCAATAGTCTTTCTATTGAATAGACTACCTACAAGGACCTTGGAGAAGAAGACACCCTATGAAGCTTGGTTGGATACTAAACTAAAACTGACAAATTTGAAAGTGTTCGGTTGTTTGTGTTTTTTTCATATGTTTCACAGGTGAAGAAAGACAAGTTGAGTGAGAAGGCGAACCAGGAATCTTTGTAGGCTATAGCATGGTGTCCAAAGCRTACAAAATCTATCAACTTCACACAAAGACGATGGTGATGAAGAAAATGTGAATCTCGAAGCGGAAGTAGTAGAACGCGTTCTTGAATCAGAAAATGTGAATCTCGAAGCGGAAGTAGTAGAACGCGTTCTTGAATTTCTTTTGAAATTTAAAATACAGAAAAATATGAAGTAAGGAAGAATGTTGGATTTTACCTTTGAATACTCTTCTTCATGTGATCCCAATGAGACAACACCACTTGATCTTCCTCACTATGTCTCTCGATCGAGATTCCGAATTGTGGGATCCAATTGCAAGGGATTGAGAGAGTAAGAGAGTTTAGGGATTTTTAGCCTTTAGCATACCTTTAGAGTTCATCTTACTGTTATATTTATAGAGAGGGAAAATCCTAAAACCATTAGAATATCGTATCCTTTTGGATATATAATATCTTCTCCTAAATCTAAGGCAAATCCCAAGACCATCAGGATTTTTTCTTCTTCTTTAATTAATAATAAATTAATTAATTAAATCAATTAACAATTAATTAATTTAATTAATTAATAAAATTATTAATTATTAATCTAATTAATTTAATTATGAATTATTAATCTAATTAATAATTAATTAATTTACATCTAAATATTAATTATTTATTTAACTTTTAATTAAATATCACATATTTAATTAAAACTATATATTTGAATCATATTCAAATGCATTTCTCTGGTATAACTTATAGTTTAATATGAATCCAATTCATATTAATTATTTGAATCCTATTCAAATATTTTTCTCCTAACATATAGTTTAATTTGAATCTTTATTCTAAAATAAACTATATATATAATGTATCATATCATAATGTATATAATATACATTATATACATTCCTCGATATATAATTTGAACATTTCAAATTCTCTCAAAATCTTGATCCTCGTTTTACCCGTTGTGAGCTTGCAAGGGACCTAATAAACCTATAGATTAGAAGCTCCAACGATACGAGATTAATCAGTCAAACTCATTAACCGAGTTAATCAACATTCGTTAACTGCGAGTCACTTAACTAAAGACCTGCAGTTGCACTCTTCTCACTTCATAATATTTTCATGTCCACGGATGTACGAGCATTAATAGCAAGTCAATCCTCACGAGTGCTCGTAACTCTAGTTGGGTCAAATTACCGTTTTACCCCCGAGTTACATCTTGCTCCTTAAATACCATTGCTCCTCTAATGAACAACCTAATTATGGTCTGACCAATAACCGGAAGTCCCTTTTGGGCAAGTGAGAGGGTGGGGCACCTTGTTCAAGTCTTGGAGTTAGCATGTAAGGGAACACTCATCTACTTCCCTAAATTCAGGAAGGAGTGAATTTCATCTTGCGTAGTTATGTTTCCAACTCCCCACTCAGTCTCGTCCCCAAAATGGTAGGATTATTGAGTCAAAAACTCAGGCCACTCTCACCTATACAAATCAAAGGACGATCCCTTATAGGCAAGAGTCCATAACTCGCTCAGGATTAAGATTGAGTTACATGGTCATCCTATGAGATAATAATCTATTGACTAATGGTGTTAGAGCCAATGATTAATTATTTTACGATCTGGTCTTATACAAACTTATTGTATTAGGATTCCCTCATTTGCATGTCACTACATGAATGACCTAGATAAAGTCGTTTGTAACTATTACAAAGTGGCTTGTATCCATAGTGTTACCAGGATAAGGTACCCAACCTTATCCATGTACTATAGACCATTTAGGTTATTACTGGAACACCATTTGTATATCGAATATATACTGTATATAAAAAATATACACTGTAGATTAAATATATATTGTATATCAAATATATACATTGTATATTAAATATATACTTTATATCAAATATATAATGTGTATATTAAATGTAAACTAGGTATCAAATATATACATTGTATATTAAATATATACTATATATCAAATATATACATAGTATATTAAATATATACTGTATATCAAATATATATTTTTCCAGTTACATTACATTGTTGGGTTTTATGTCCTAAAACTCATAGTTTGAAAATGACAGATATACTTTTATCATTCAATAAAGTTGTTATTGAAGGTTTTAATCAATAAGTAGTTATTGATCCAATAAAATGTTCTTACCATATCTAAATCCAATAAAATAAAGGATCCTAGACTGTTACCTGAGACTCAAACTCTATGTAAGAGACATAAATATGGATCAAGTTTGAGTTAACAGTCTAAATGGTCTATAGTATAGGAATAAGGTTGG